GATCCCAGGACCCTGGGATCATGACCTGAGCTGAAGGCAGACGCTTAACGACTGAGCCGCCCAGGCGCCCCGCATTTGTTTTTCTCTTAATTTTATGTATATTGAGGCTATGTTAGGTGCATACAGATTTAGAATTGTTTTATCTTCTTAGTTAGATTGAGCCTTTTATCATTATGAAATACCCCTGTTTATCTTTAGGAATTTTTGATTTTGTCTGTTATTAGTGTAGCTATTACAAGCTTTCATTTGGTAAGTATTTTCACGGTAGATCTTTTCCCATTATTTTACTTTTAACCTTTTTTTTTTTTAAAGATTTTTTAAAGATTTTATTTATTTGACAGAGACACAGCGAGAGAGGGAACACAAGCAGGGGGAGTAGGAGAGGGAGCCCAACGCGGGGCTCGATCCCAGGTCCCTGGGATCATAACCTGAGCCGAAGGCAGATGCTTAACGACTGAGCCACCCAGGCCCCCCTACTTTTAACCTTTTTATGTACTTGTATTTATGTTGTCTCTTTTAGAAATAGTATACAGTTGGGTTTTGCTTTTTTAAATCAGTCTAAAAAAATCTTTGTATTTAATGGAGTATTACTTCATTTGCATTCAATGTAATTTCTAATTTATTAGGGTTTAAATCTGTCATCTTAACTATTTCTTTTTGACACCTATTCCATGTTCTTTTTTCTCTCTTCTCTTGTTTTCTTTCTTATTAAAATAGTTTATTTTTTATTACTTCAATATTTTCTGTATCAGTGGGTTTGTTACTAATGGATTATTTTATATTCTTTTAATGGTTACCTTAGAGATTACAACATGTATCCTTAATTTATTAAAATCTAATATAAGTAAGTGCTGTTACTACTTACTGGATGATGTAAAGATCTTAGAATACTTTAATTCCACTTGTCCCTTTTTGTCCAAGTGTTATTGCACTATATTTTGATTTTATATTTATTTAAACCTCCAAATCATTTTATTACTATTTGAAATAGTGACCATTTATTTGGATTTATCCACATGTTTATTATTTCCATTGCTATTTATTCTTTTTTTTTTCTTTTATTTATTTTTTTATTCTTATGTTAATCCCCATACATTACATCATTAGTTCTAGATGAAGTGTTCCATGATTCATTGTTTGTGCATAACCCCCAGTGCTCCATCCATTGCTATTTATTCTTTCCTTCATTTTCAGCTTCCATCTGAGATGATTTTCCTTACTTCAGAAGAATACCCTAGTCTTTCCTTTGTTTTAAAAAAATATATTTTTTAATATTTTATTTTTTTGAGAGAGAGAGAGAGTGAGAGTGAGAGAGAGAACAGGAGCAGGGCAGAGGGAGAGGGAGTGGGAGAAGCAGATTCCCCTGCAGAGCAGGGAGCCCTATGCGGGGCTGGATGCCAGGACCCTGGGATCATGACCTGAGCCGAAGGCAGACGCTTAACCAACTGAGCCACCCAGGTGCCTCACACTAGTCTTTCCTTTTGTGGAGTATATTGTTGATAAATTCTCTCAGTTTTTGTGTGATAATGTATAATGTACATTTTGTGTAATGCTGTTTACAGAATTCTAAGTTGGCAATTATTTTCTTTCTTTTTAAGATTTAATTTATTTGTCAGAGAGATAGAGAGAGAGAGGGCACAAGCAGGGAACAGGCTCCCTGCTGAGCAAGGAGCCTGATGCGGAACTTGATCCCAGGACCTTGGGATCATGACCTGAGCTGAAGGCAGCTGCTTAACCGACTGAGCCACCCAGGCATCCCATATTAACCTTATTTTAATATCTTATTGACAGTTCTTTTTTTTTTTTTAAGATTTACTTATTTATTTGAGGGGGAGAGAGAGTGAGCACAGTGGGGAGGGGCAGAGGGAAAGGGAGAGAGAATCTAAAGCCGATTTCATGCTGAGTGCAGAACCTGATGTGGAACTCAGTCTCACGACTCTGAGATCATGACCTGAGCCAAATCTAAGAGTGGGGGGCTTAACCAACTGTGCCACCCAGGTGCCCCCTGACTGAAAATCTATTATTTGTGTCCTTCAAGAGTCTGTTTCTCTTGCTCATTTTTTTTTTCTTGGTTCTTAGTCAAATCTTGTGTTCATCAATGCCGGGTTATATAAGAGAAAAATTTGAAGCTGTGAGTGATTTTATCTTTCTCCAGTGAGGATTTACTGTTGCTTCTCATAGGCAGCTAGGCTGAGACATCAGAAATCGTAGATTACTTTAATTACAGATTGAAATGTTTGGAAGTTTGCCCTTATTTCAAGGGATTGTTCTGTTTCTGGTTTAGACTTTCTTATAGGATAGCTAGTGTGGGTTGGTATTAGTTTCTGCTCAGTTTTTGGCCTATCATCCTCTGCTTTTGGACAGGGAGAAGGAAATGTCAAATGCTGGTCTTGCTTCTCTGAGGATTCCTTCTTCTGTCACAAATTCTCACCCTATGGATAGCTCTGAAGCCTTCAAACATACCCTATTTTTCTGTGTGCTTTTGTCCATCTCTTCTTGTTCTCGTGAGGTTTGTCCAAATAGCCTAGTCTTCCATTTAATCACTATTTTTAAAGCATTGAAATAAGTTTATTTTGCCAAATCTTACAGCATTTTATGTTTCATATTCTTTTTTTTGCATGTTTAAAGATGTTATATTGCCTGCTTGCTTTATTTGTAATATGATTTGAATTATAAGTGAAAATTTCTGATGGCCAGTTTGTATTAATTTCTCTTTAATGAATAGGCTGACTTAGGACAGTTCTCTTAGTCTTAAGGGTGAAGTTCTGCCATTTGTTACTCAAGATGGGGGGTTGTGGTATGTTAGCTGCCCTGGCTCTATTATAGTGCTCATATTTGAAGAACTTAAAGCTAAGTAAATTGAGGTAAATTAAGCATACATGTGGAAGTGGATTTTGTGTCTTAGACACCTCTCCAGATAAATTTAGAATAAAATTTGTAGAGTTTTTCCTTACAGTGTTGCTTTCTTTCAGTGTGAAGGCTTAGAATCATCTTTAAAGGATGCCAGTTTTGAGAAGGAATCAACAGAAGCACAAAGTTTGGAGGTAAAAACAAATAATATAATTATAAAAGCTGGGGGTAAGATTCTTACTAAATAACACAAACTTGAAGAAAAATGTATCTCCTGAAAACTATTTTAAAGGAAATGTGAAAGAACATTGCTAGATGTTAAAACTTAAAGAAAAAGTTAATTATAGGAAATGGAACATTAGGTAGCATAAAGTATCTTAAAAATTTGAGCTCTCCTTGCTAACATATTCAGTTTACTGGAACCGAGGGCCATATAGGAGCTCTTTATTTTTCATTCTTAGGAATGAAATGTGTTAAGTAACCATTCCTTTTTTTAATTCCGTTTGCTCTAGAAAGGAAGAATAGGATTCATTTTCATAAATTTAGGAATAGTTGGCAGGAATAAATTATGTAAATTGTGGCAGTACGTGCCTTCACTTCATCCCCATTGTTATTGGGAGCTGACTAGAATTAGACCAAAGATTTATATTGTAAGCAGCAGTGTGCTGGTAAAGGTTTAACAGCTGGCTCTCTGAAAAGGAGTCCTTATTTGTAGCATTTGCTTGGTTCTGTTGGGTAAATACTCTCAATTTCAAGGTACCAACATGATGTCACTGAATGCAGGGTTTGGAAGAGATATGTCTAGTCAGCTCTCCTGAGCCAGGTATGATTTGGCTAGTAGTAAGAAGGGAAATAATAAAGATTTGTCATTTAGCTAATCTACAACAGATTAGGATAAATGCTGTTTGTTACTATTTAGAGATGGAAGTGTTGTCAGAAGCATACTAGTACTAAAGTAGAAAACAATGGACTTTGTACTTTTTTTTGGTGTATGTGGTCAGACAATGGTGTATGTGGTCAGTCCAGCTCGGCTGTTATCAATCACTGATGTCTGTAACCATCAGAAAGTCTATGTGTATAACACTGGATGGTAACTAACTGGAATTAAAATAGAAATTTAAAAAAATCTATATTTTATGTTTCAGAATTTCCTAGTAGAGTCCAAAGGAAGTTATAAATTGAATTCCAAATGGAGCAAATTTCTTAATCTTTTCTTTCTTCATTTGTTACCTATTAATATCCTCAAGAATTTGTTGAAATTGTTTTATTTACTGACCTTCTGTTTTATCTCCTGTTCCAGTAGTAACTTATTAGTTTGATTAAAAAAGAAAGAATTGTAGAAGGCATTTAGCTTGCTAATAGAAGAGCCTAAACTGGACAGAAAAGGCATTTATTCAAGTTTGGCAATATTGTGGATAAAATAAAACACACCAATTTATTCTTAAGGAATTGAATTTACATGATCTAACAGTAGAATTTAAATGAATGTTTTGGAAGTTTTTCCTCTGATTTTTGTAATTTTAAAAAACATGTAGTGTTTATTTTTAAGCTTGGTAAACATAATATAAACTATATATGATGGAATTAAACAAATTTGATGGTTGAATCAGTAGATAAAACAGTACAGTAATTTTGATTCAAGTCAGGGAATTCATATAATCAAATAACCAAAGTTGGGAAAATACATATAAACAAGTTTTTAGCCACTATAATATAGTATGTACTTGTTCTTTTTTTATTTTGGTCTCCATTAAATTCTTTGAATCTTTTGGTTTTTTTTTTTTAACAAGTTTGTTGAAGGATCACAAATATCAGAGGTATGTTTATTACAGTATTTAAAATCCAGTTGGAATAATTCAATAACTAATCATTTAAAATTAAAAAGGTCCCAGAAAATAATTCAATGCAGAACATTATTCTGAAGCAATCTTCATTATTTTTTGAGTTTAATTTTTATTATGTCTTTAATTTTATTAAATCAGACTTATTTCTCATTTTTTCCTTTATAATGCTCTAAAGCAGAGGTTGGCAAACTGTAATCTGGGCTCTCCACCTATTTTTTTTTTTTTTAATTTTTTTATTTGAGTATGGTTGATACAAATGTTAGATTAGTTTCAGGTGTACAACGTAGTGATTCAACATGTCTATACTTTATGCTGTGCTCACCACAAGTATAGCTACAATCCGTCTCATCATACAATGCTATTACAGTCTCATTGACTGTATTTCCTATGCTGGACCTCTTATTTCCATGACTTATTCCATAATTGGAAGCCTGATCTCCCACTCACCTTCACTCATTTTGCCCAATCCCCCACCATCTTTCCTGTGGCATCCATCAGTTTATTCCCTGAATTTATAGGTCTGATTCTGCTTTTTGTTTGTTTATTTGTTTTGTTTTTTTACATTCCACATATGAGTGAAATCATTTGGTATTTGTCTTTCTCAGTCTGACTTACTTCACTTAGCATAATACCTTTTAGGTCCATCCACATTGTCACAAATGGCAAGATCTCATCATTTTTTTATGGCTATGTAATATTCCTTTGTGTGTATATACCACATCTTCTTTATCCATTCATCCATCGATGGACAGTTATGTTGCTGCCCTATTTTAGTTATTGTAAATAATGCTGCAGTAAACATAGGGGTATGTATATCTTTTTGACTTATTATTATTTTTTTTTTAATAAAAAGTAGTGGAATCATTGGATCATACAGTATTTCTGTTTTCCACAGTGGCTGTACCAATTTACATTCCCAGCAACAGTGCACGAGGGTTCCTTTTTCTCCACATCCTTGCCAACACTTGTTATTTCTTGTCTTTTTTATTTTAGCCATTTTGACAGGTGTGAGATGACACTTCATTGTGGTTTTGATTTGCATTTCCCTGATGATGAGTGATGTTGAGGATCTTTACATGTGTCTGTTGGCCATCTGTATGTCTTTGGAGAAATGTCTATTTAGGTCCTCTGCCCATTTTTAATCAGATTGTGTGGCTTCTCCACCTGTTTTTGTAAATAAAATTTTATTGGAACACAGCCATGCTCATTCATTTACATGTCTTTGCATTCTTACTACATAGACATAGTTGGGACAGCGACTACATGGCCTGCAAGCCTAAAATATTTACTCTGTGGCTTTTTATAGAAAAAGTTTGCTGACGCCTGCTAGCATTGCTATTATTTAAATGGTATAAAAATGAACAAATATGTAAACTAAATTTATTTGATTTATAATATATGTGTTTGATTATACTTGTCTGATTTATCATAACCAAAAAGTTCTATGCCTGTCTTATAAAGTTGGCTTCCTCTTTTAGGCAGTCTGTGAAAATCTGAACAAGTCTAAATCTGAACTTGAGGATGAAATACTTTTTCTGGAAAACCAATTAAAAGAAGAGAAATCTAAACATTCTGAACAAGATGAATTGGTAAGGTTTTTACATAAATGAGGAGACTGTAGGAAAAGAAAGTTACTGAATTTTAAAATATTAGTAGGTATCGGGGTGCCTGATGGCTCATTCGGTTAAGTGTCTGACTCTTGATCTCAGATCTCAGCTCAGATCTTGATCTCCATCATGTGTTCAAGCCCTGTGTTGGGCTTTGTGCTGGGCATGGAGCCCACTTAAAAAAATATATATATATAATGGTATCAGTTAAAGTATTATATGCATTTTAAAAAGAATTCCCAAAATACAGAAGACTGTTAAGTACAGAGTAAAATTTTCGAGATCCACTAGCTTTTTTTTTTTACATGTTAGAGGTTACCATTACCATGTTAAGTTTCTTGCACATCCTTATATTTTCTATATGTACTATAAAGTGGCTCACATAAATAAAGTTGAATAATCACATACATGGTGGATTTTTTTTAATTACTCAAAAGGTATTTTGAGAACATTTTAACTTTGCTTTGGCATTTATTTTAAAATCTATTGTAAGGAAGATCTAGATGTGTGTGATTATTTAGTAAGATATGATGTCAGTGGACTTATCTTGAGCCTATATAACTTAAATGTTATGAAATATTAAAGATGAGATGAAATATTATTGCCTAACATTCATATAAAATCTCTTTTATGGCTGACAGGTTTTCTTAGAATCCTCTTTTTTTTTTGAGTAGATGTATTAGGTTAACAATATATCTAAGCTATGTGGTGTCTTGGAAGCTGGAGAAATTTAGTAAATAAATACTCGTTTATTGATTGATGCTGTCTTTCCAGATGGTGGATATTTCAAAAAGGATACAGTCCCTAGAAGATGAATCAAAATCTCTTAAATCACAAGTGGCTGAAGTAAGTTGAATTAGCCTAGAAGGTCTTTTGCTTTTGAAAATCATTTTAATTTTACTGTTTTATGTTTAAAGAAGAAGATATAATACTAGAATTTGAGATACTGGGGTCTTAGATATAGTTCCTTTGTAGAAGGTACTTCAGAAAGGTTCATTTTTTTTGTTGGACAGGTGTTTATTGAGTTCTTCCTATGTACTGGTCATTGTTGAAAGTGCTTGGCACTTAACATTAGGAGACAAAATAGGAAAACTCTCATCTAGTTTAAATTCTAGTAAGAGAGGCAGGTAATAAAAAGTTAACAAAATTTGCTACATAGTACATAAAAGATTACAAGTGGTTAAATCCTTTATCCAAGGCCACATGGCAAGTTCATGGCAGAGCCATGATTGGACCCTAATTCTGGACTAGCCTTTTTTCTGCTATCCCTATGCTGCCTTTCCTGTTAATATTGCATGTTTTTGACTTTAATTCCATGTTTTAGGGAGTATGTATAAAAAAGAGCTATTGTATTAAATTAATTCTTATAAGCTTGATATGTTGTGTTTTCCTTAGGCCAAAACAACCTTTAAAATATTTCAAATGAATGAAGAACGACTTAAGATAGCTATAAAAGATGCTTTGAGTGAAAATTCCCAACTTCAGGAAAGCCAGAAACAGGTTTGTACTCTATAGGGACTTTTAAACTGTGAATATGTAATTATAAATGTTCTGGGCATACTCAAGACTGACCCATGCTAGGGGCAAGGTTAGGCTTTTCCTGGAAAACAGGAGAGCAGGACAATCTCCTGTATATCCTTTGGTGTCTCTTTTGTATAGGGTGCAAAGTGTATACTCCTGGCACCTTGTTTCTTCAGTAGTTAGAGTAATCCAGGGCAAATTTCAGTAATCACAGCAAATAGCATTTAGTACCAACTCGTCAAAGCCAGACTGAAGGAGGGCAGAGAATACACATGAGAATTATCTTGAAGCTATGGGTCTGAGGCCTAAAGATAGAAACAGTTCTGATGGTAGATCAAATGAGGATTTAGCTTTTACCCTCTTCCTTCTTCATATATATTAGGCACTCTCAGACACCCAAATATGTTTTCTGTCCCACTATTCTCCCAGTATAGTTAAAATTTTTCCATGGGAAAATTTTTCATTGATTACATTATTCACAGTTCTTTAAATGTTACAGCTGAGCCACACGATGTGCTCTGATTACATGTTCTGTTTTACCCAACGTTTTCTTTGCTCTAGGGTTAGTAATTGTTTTGTTTCTTATATACCTGTCTATATGTCTGTCTTCTGGAGATTTAAATATCTTATTTATGCATTCAAATGCTTTGATAATCGACTGATTTTTTCTTTTTTTTGAAGCAATACTTTCTGGGGTCTTCCATCCTCCTGATTTGATAGGAAGTTATTCTCTGGGTCTGTTAATGCTTCTGTTGTCCTGAGATTTCACTTCACTCCCATCTTTCCCCTTGTCTTTCTCCTGTGTTGGATCTTCTATTTCCTGTATCTAAGACTTGCTCTTTTGTGGTTAATTCTCTTGATTAGCTTCTTGAGAAAAAGATATACAAGCTAACTTTTAAAAAAATTTGCATCTTCTTGAGAATGTCTTCTCTCAAAGTTACTGACATTTTGAAGGTTGGATATCTTCTGGGCTTAAATTTTTCTTTTTCTTGAAATTTTGACATTATTGATCCGTGGTGTTCGTTTTCCAGTATTGCTTTTGAGAAGTCAAATGCTACTTGGATTATTGGATCTGTTTTTGTGATCTGCTCTTTTCCTCCCTGGAACCTTTTAATATCTTTCATTGTTTCTAGTTCTCCAAAATGTCATGATGATGCAGGGTCTTTTTTCATACATTTGTTGGAATGTCTGCAACTCTTAGTCTGGAAACTCTTGCTCTTGATTCAGTTCTGGGATATTGCTACACGCTTTTTTGGGGATTTTTATATGATTATACAGTAATTATTTGAAGATGTCCTCTTTGATTTCCTTGTTTATATGGAAGTTTTGTTGACTTATTCTTCTATATTTTTCAATTTTAAGTATTTTTGTTTTGTTTTGCTTTGCTTATGCCTCTTCTTTATATATGGATGCCATGTTCTTATCTTGCTGAGGATATTTTTTCTTTTTTCTTTTTGAAGTGTTTGTTTCAGTTCCCTGAGTTGTCTTGTTTCCTCTATTTTCTATTTTGGTCTATGTCTTTTATTTAAGAGCTTCTTTTTAAAGCAGATATTAGGTGATTCACTGCAATCTGCTTATTTATTTATTTTTTTAAAAGATTTTATTTATTTGAGAGAGAGAGATAGCAAGTGAGAGCACGAGCAGGGAGGAGAGGGAAAAGCAGGTCCCCGCTGAGCAGGGAGCCCGACGCTGACTCAGTCCCAGGACCCTGGGATCATGACCCGAGCAGACGCTCAACCAACTGAGCAACCCAGGTGCCCAGAGTCTGTTCATTTAATAGTGAAACTCTCCATGTCTAATTGGAAGCTCTGTGTGTGTTATTGGGAGGTTCTTCTGTAGGGTAATCTGCCTAGGATGTTTCATTGGATGATCCCCAATTGTTGGTATCTGAAGATCATTTTCTACAGGGATGATACCTCCTCAGTTTCTATTTGAGAGGTAGAAGCCCATTTGCCAACAGTGAGATAAACAGAGAGGTAAGGCTTGTTGGTTTGTCACTATTCAGTAAGTCATCTTTCACTTAATACCTTTATGTTTTCAATATTTTACTCACACTTTCACCTGGGCCAGGTATCCCAGAGTTTCATTTTCCACTTCTCCAGAGAATAACTTTCTGGGCTTTTGCCAGATGTGTATATGTGTGTAAATATGTGTGTGTGTATGTGTGCATGCATGTGAAAGATGAGGGTGGGTGGGAGGGATGGATGGAGAGTAAGAATGTATGTATATGCATGTGCAGGGAGAACATGAGGGACTTTCTAACTTTTTTTATACGTACTTTCAGGCAGTCCTCCTCTTTTCAATCCCACTTACACCCCTAGTGTTAGTGCCTCCAAATTACGAGCATTTTGGGTTGTATGAAATCAACCTGCATTTGGACTTTCCCATCTTCTGAGTAAATTTCAGCTTTGATGGTCTGCTAAATCTTTTACTATACTTCTTTCTCTTTCTACTTTTCTTCCCCCCCAGAGAGAGTGAGTTGGCGGGAGGGAGAGTGAGAAGGGAGAGGGAGAGAATCTTAAGCAGGACGCCCAGTGCGGAGCCTGACATGGGACTCAGTCTCAAGACCCTGAGATCAGGACCTGAGCCAAAATCAAGAGTCAGATGCTCAACCGACTGAGCCACCCAGGTGCCCCTCTACTTTCCACATCTAGAATTACCTTTTTCCTTATCGCCTATTTTCTTTTTTCTTGTGGGTTTATGCTGCTGCTTTTTTTCCTTTTCCGAAGTCTCTTAGTAGATTTACTCTCATCTTAATAGATTGCAGGAGAAAGTGGTGGTAAACCTTGTGTTAAATTGCTCTGTTGAAATAAAAACTGGCCTTTTCTATCTTGAAAAAATTTCACCTAGATTGTCTTCCTCTTTTTTTTTTTTTTTTTTAAGATTATTTATTTGAGAGAGAGGGGTGGGGAGTGGCAGAGGGAGAGGGAGAGAGAAACTTAAGCAGACTCCATGCTGAGCATGGAACCTGACACGGGCCTTGGTGTGCAACCCTGAGTTCATGACCTGAGCCAAAATCAAGAGTCATACGCTCAACCAGCTCTGCCGCCCAGGCACCCCTCCGATTGTCTTACTCTTTACACCTGCTTTCCTCTAACTCCTTTTTAATAACTAAAGTTCTTGAAATCAACTACTCTATATTCACTGATGCCATGTTCTAATTCACTCCTTCCCTGATTTCTTAAGACTGCTGGGTATGTAATTTCTTCTTCTTCCTTTTTTTTTTTTAGATTTTTATTTATTTATTTGAGAGAGAGAGTGAGAGAAAGCGAGCACGAGCGGGGGTAGGGGGGCAGATGGAGAGGGAGAAGCAGACTCCCTGCTGAGCAGGCAGCCTTATGTGGGGTTCCATCCCAGGACTCTGGAATTATGATCCTAGCTGAAGGCAGATGCCTAACCTACTGAGCCACCCAGGTGCCCCTGGGTATCCAGTTTCTTTAGTAACTCTCTAGAGTCCATCTAATCACAAAATTCAGATTTTTGTCTTCAATCCTCATTTGTTTTTAATCTGTTGGTGTCCTCTTAATTCTGTTATACACGTGTAGAAAAAGTTTAGTTTTCTTGTGCTAGGAAATATGCTTATGAAGCCTTAGTTTTGCAGAGAAATCCAATAATTACTGTTCGATAGAATTGAGTTTTAAAGATTTAATAAATTTGGACTTTTCTTTCATATTTATATGGCCCATTTCTTTTGTGAATTGGTTGCTCATTCATTTTTTTCCTGTTTTTCTTACTGACTTCTAAGAGATTTTTGCATGTTAAGGTTATTAATCTTCTGTCGCATATGTGTAAGAATTCCTTTCTAGTTACTTGTTTGTTTTTAGATTTTGTGTTATTTTTTGATTTGTGAAGCTTTTAAGTGTTATGTAATCAAGTCTGTTTTATAACAATCCTTACCTTTTGCATCGTGTTCAAAAACTATTTCCTATAAAAGTATATACAGTAAAAGACTGTTTATGCAGAATTTGATCTATTCCAGTTTAGTGGTATCTCTGGAAGTTTAATTAACTACAAAACAGCACATGATTTAAAAAAAATATAGGACTTAAGGGATGGTAAGAAATGACCAAATCTAACATATATATATGTCTCAAAAAGCTTTTTATTTGCTCTAAGTTTATTATGTAAATCAGTTGAACAGTGTTTAAGTTTTAAGTGTCTCTTATTTTACATTATCCTTCTTGAAAATTCTTTGAAAACAGGAGCCTGCCCTTCATTCCCTTCTTTCCTTCCTTCATCCCTCTCCCCTTTACTTCTTAGCAACACATTGTGTTGTATAATATATATTAATGATACATCTAAATATATAAATAAATTCCTTTACACATAAGTATGAAAAATAATGAGTTGCTTTTTTGTTTTGGTGGGGTTTGAATTTTAGCTTTTACAAGATGCTGAAGAATGGAAAGAACAAGTGAGTCAACTTAATAAACAGAAAATAACATTTGAAGACTCCAAAGTATATGCAGAACAAGTTCTGTGTGATAAAGAAAATCAGATCAAGGTAAGTGGCCCCTCTGGTTTTAGTGACTGAGTCAGCTGGAATTTTGTACTAATTCTGAAATTTGAAAATTTTTGTCTTAGTAACTTTTATTTTTATAATTATTTGGTCAAATTTGAGCATGTGTACTTCTTTGGCATTCGTTTTAATTTGTACCAGTATTGTCATTCTTGCTCCCAAATGCTCCTTGAAGACTCACAGATTTGTAACGTATATGTTATGTAATAGTGTATACTAATTATATATTATATAATATATAATAAATTAATGTATATTATTGATATTATATATTATATAATATAATACATTAATGTATATTATTGATATTATATATTATTTATATATATGATCTATATAAATCATTATTCTGTGTGTCCTTTTTCTCCTTTGCTCTGTATTTTACCCTAGGTATTTAATGAAGAAAGAAAAAGAAGAGTGGATTTTACCTTTGTCTTTAGACTGCCATCTGTTTCTATTGATAAGATGTTGGAAAGAATTTTAGAAATTCGACAGATGAAGTTATATGTATTGGCTAGATGTCTGTAATACCTAGATTAGCTGGTGTATGTACTTTCATGGAGATGAATACTTTTCAAAAAATAAGTCTAATTGAAACTTGACTCTAATAGGAATATAATAATTGATATTATTGTAGGATTTGTTCATTTTTTCCTACTCCTTATTTGCTTCATTCTACCCTTTTTCTTTCCTGTTCTTTTAAATCTTATGCTTTCAAGCTGCAAACAGATACTCAGGTGTGAGTATCAAGTAATAAGATGTAAAACTAATATTCTGTAATCTACGCAGTGAAGTGGAGGTTGCCATCTTGAAACCTATATATTTATGCTCTTTATGTTGTTACTAAGAATGTTTTTTTTTAAATTTTATTTTATTATGTTATGTTATTATGTATCCCCCCACCCCCCACTAAGAATGTTTTTAAGATTCCAACTTTAGGAGTTGTATTCATAATTTGGGATATTGCTTTATTTTTTTCCCTAATCTTACCCTATTAAAGAACTTGGGATTCTTCCTAAACAAGAATGAGATGCTAATCTCAAGCTCAGTCAAAGCTGTAAGCCATGTTATTTATGCCTGGAATTCTCAAGAGGGAAGAGATTGAAGGGTAGAAATTATAGAGCAGAATGGGTTTTTAGGTGGGTCCTTCCACAGAAATGCATGGCACAGTCATTTTATTACCTATAGTGCTAGAAAATCTTTCTTTATTCTAGAAAATTCAAAAAGTACTGTTGGAAAACCTGTAATGTACCAATTCAGATTCTGTTCTATAATTTTTTTCTTTATCTCAATTGAACTCCTCACCTAATCATTTATTTTAGAAAAAAATCAGATCTGTAAAGTCTGTGATCTTTTTATATATCATGTGTCTCACTTGCGGATTTGTTTGACCTCACACAAAATTTACTCTCATGTTAATGGCCACTCTTATTTGTTGCATGTGAAGAATGTCCTATAAGAAAATGTTTTGTTACTTTATAGTCATGTGATGTATTTAGCAAAAATGGGCCATTATCAAGTATTGTATTTGATTTAGGAATAAACAGGTTTGGTTTTTAACTTGTAGAGTTTAATAGTCAATAAATGTTACAGCTTTTCAGAGTATTTACATATCTTAGTATCAGCTGGTGAATAAGAGCTCATATACTGTTATCTAGGTAGATTGATTTTTAAACTGTGACTGCACATTCAGAAGTTGTAAATCAATTAGCAAAAGGCATTACCCTCTTTCTCTTTTTTCCCTTTTTTGCTAAATGTCAAGTCTCTTACTGAACGCTTGATAAAGATGAAAGATTGGGCTGCTGTGCTGGGAGAAGACATAACAAACGATGATAACTTGGAGTTGGAAATGAGTGAATCAGAAAATGGTATGCAGTTGGGTATTATTAAGTCATGATTCATCCTCTTTTGCTAAAAATGATGAGCCTGTTGTATTTTCTTTTAGTTCCCTATGTGCACCATGGTCCTTTTTTTTTAATTTAAATTCAGTTAATTAACATATAATGTATTATTAGTTTCAGAGGTAGAGGTCAGTGATTCATTAGTCTTATATAATACCTAGTGCTCATCACATCACGTGCCCTCCTTAATGTCCATCACCCAGTTACACCATTCCCCACCTCCCTCCCCTCCAGCAACTCTCAGTTTGTTTCCTGTGATTAAGAGTCTCTTTGTTTCCCTCTCTGGTTTTGTCTTATTTTATTTTATACTCTCTTCCCCTATGATCCTCTGTTTTGTTTCTTAAATTCCACATATCAGTGAGATCATATGATAATTGTTTTTCTCTGATTGACTTATTTTGCTTAGCATAATACCCTCTAGTTTCATCCATGTTGTTGCAAATGGCAGGATTTCATTTTTTTTATGTCTGAGTAGTATTCCATTGTGTATATATACAATATATACACACACCACATCTTCTTTATTCATTCATCTTTGATGGACATCTCTGGGCTCTTTCCATAGTTTGGCTATTGTGGACATTGCTGCTATAAACATTGGGGTGTCGGTACCCCTTCAGATCACATTTGTATCTTTGGGGTAAATACCCAGTAGTGCAATTGCTGGGTCATAGGGTAGCTCTGTTTTCAACTTTTTGAGGAACCTCCATACTGTTTTCCAGAGTGGCTGCACCAG